CACCTCGGAGATGGAGTCGTACGAGCAGGGCGCCGCAGCGTATCTGGGCGAGATTCGGGATCTCATTCGGAGCGATGTGCACAAGGTGGTGGCGGTGGGCGAGTGTGGTTTGGACTATGACCGGCTTCATTTCTCGCCCGCCGAGGTGCAGAAACGACACTTTGCAACGCAGCTCGACCTGGCTATCGGGGTCAGGTTGCCGCTGTTTCTGCATTCGCGCGCTGCACATGCTGACTTTGTCGCCATCCTCCGACCGCGCATCGAGGAGATTCACTCTGCACTCAGCATAGACGCACCAGTGCACAGCGATCCGAGCGCAAAACGCGTGGGTGTGGTGCACAGCTTTACCGGTACGATCGCCGAGGTGGACGAGCTGTTAGCTCTGGGTTTGTTTATCGGTATCAATGGCTGCTCACTCAAGACCGAGGAGAATCTGGCGGTGGTGGAGCGCATCCCGTTGTCGAGGTTGATGCTCGAGACCGATGCACCGTGGTGCGACCCTCGATCGACGCATGCCTCGCACAAGCACATCCAGGCGTTCAAAGCGTCGCATCCGGATCTGCATGCTCGATACCAACCCGCAGCAGTCAAGAAGGAGAAATGGACCGCACAGAACATGGTCAAGGGCCGAAACGAGCCGTGCGCAATCGGCCTCGTTGCAGCCACGGTTGCAAGCGTCAAGCAGCTGCCCATAGAAGAGGTCGCAGAAGCGGCAACGGCCAATGCGCGCTGGCTCTTCAATCTTCCCTAGCACATCCATCATCAAAGCGGGTAACAGGTAATGCAAAGATAGTGTCCAAAAAAGCAACTGAGAAGAACAAGACAGAGGGGGCTAGGAGCTGTTGAGTTCGCCGATGATCTCCTCGTGCAGAGGCTGGGTTGGGAGCATCTGTGGCGGGTTGAACACCTGGTACATGAGCGGCGCAAGCGAGCCATCGAATCGATACAGCTGCAGCGAGTAGGCGGGCGAGTTGAAGTGGGTGTCGAGGTGAATCTCGAAGCCGTTCATGTTTTCCACCTGGTCGTAGCTCTGAACGTAGTTGGATTTTTCGGCACATCGGTCCGAAACCTGCTGTCTGCCGTCGCCCTTGAAGATGTTGAGCGTGAGCGTGTTGTTCGGGTTGAGGATGTAGGTGCCGTGTTGCCAGATGAGCTGTGCCGACACGCAGTTGGGCTTGGCCGGGTTGGTGTTGTACAGATACAGCGCCTGCTCCCAGTAGCCGTCGTTGGTAAAGCTGTACGATTGACCTGCTGTGGCCGGGTAGATGAAGCTGTTGTTCACCGGGTCGTAAAAGTTGAGACCGGTAAGCACGTGGCCGGCGCCAGTGCTCCATGTGCCCTGAAGCGACGTCACGTTGTTCGGCACACCGATGCCGTATGTGGTTTGAGCGGACGCGCGCGAGATGAACAGCGCCGACGAAGCGACTAGTATCGATGTGAACAGCTTCAACATGGTCGAGGATGCCGTGATGGACGCCTTGAAAGTGAGATGAGCGATGCGAGTGATGTGCGCGTGCGATGCTGAGGCGTGTCTGGATGGATGCGGAGCAAGCGGATGCGAATTCGAGAGATGCGCAGGATGGAGAAGCGGCGGACGATATCGAATGATAGAAGACGAGGATGGTGGTTTGGTAGGTAGCAGCAGCGACTGCAACGACGATCTCACCGCCTTGGGGTTCGGGTCGGCGCTTCATGAGGCGGAAATGAGCTCACACACCTCACTGCGAGAGAGGGGGGAGGTGGGGTTTACTTGCTCTCTGCATCTCACTTTGACCGGCGGGATGCCTGTCCACGCGTCAGAATCGACATGGCGCTGCCGTGCGTGCTGAAATTCGACATCCAACACAGGGGCAGTGCGGCAGCGCGGCATGGCGGCATGGCGGCATGGCGTGTGTGTGTGAGTGTGTGTCCGCTGGCTGCACGCGCGCGGCTCGCCAGCTTCAGCCCGCCGGGTCTCCGGACTCTCTCTCCCTCTCTCGCCGCTGCCGTCTTTTTTTTTTTTT